GACTGAGCCCTCAAGGGTTAACACATTGTTTTTAATGTAGCCTCTCACACAGGGCAGCATGAACACGAGGGAAGGGAGACAGCATAGCAGACAAAGACAGACGCACACCTTGTGTGTGGGGGAGAGAGAGAGATGCACACTGCCCCTTTTAAGTAAGCTGACCCACTCTTAAGTGCATTGTCTTTTTAAGTGGATCAGGAACTTGAGACAGCAGCTGCTGCCCCAAGCTTTCTTTGTCTCTCTCCATCCATGTCCCCTCCTTGCTCTATATGGAGAAGGGGTAAGCTGGGTGCAGGAGCAGGGGGGAGAGGGACACCCTGACATTAGCCCCCCCCTTTCTCCCCTGCACAGTAAGCAGGAGTCTCTGGGAGCAGCTCCAAGGCAGAGGGCAGGAGTAGTACATGGCAGTGGTGGGGGTGGAGGGACAGCTGAACTGCCTGGCAATTGATAGCCCACTGGGTGGCTGCAGCACAGGGAACTTAGGGGAGCGGGGAGCTGATAGGAGGGCTGCCGGTCCACCCTGGTTACAAGCCCCCACGAGCTAGCTGCAACCGGCTGCTCTTCCTGCAAACAATGGACAAAGCAGGCGGCTGCCAAACAATGTTAGAAGGGAGCACTGCACAACTTTAAACAAACGTTAATTGATCAGCAATGAAACAACGTTAACCGGGATGACTTTAAGTGAGGAGTTACTGTATACAGAGCAATCTTTTTTCTGGGTGTGTATATAACAAACCTTTATTTCCCTTCAATTACAAGTACTTATTCAGGCTCATTTATAAACTAACATACTTTTACCTTTACTCTCTGCTTCCCTTTTCTTCAGTCCTTCATATAGATTCACTGAGATCTAGCCTTTGGAGGGAGGTGCACATGCACAGGGGGGTGCAGGTCCAAGGGGTAGCCTTGGAGGTGAGGGTTGTGGGAAAGGAGGTTGACCAGTAGATGGGCCCTAGCCAGCCTTCTAGTGGAAATTTTCTCTGAAAAGAAATGGGCTATAGATTCTTGTTTGTTTGTTTGAAATAATCTTAGCAGTCATTTTATATTAAGCTTGTCAGAGCAGACATTCCATAGAAGCATTACAAAATCAAAAGATGAGAATTTTTTAAACTAGTCTTGATCAACTAAATTTGATCCTGGTTTCTAAGTTTCAATTGGAAAGTCCCAGAAACTAAATTATGCTTCATCTAATTTGGGTTTTCCTACAGCATGGCAAAAAATAGCTTGACTTCAGGATCCTCTTGTCCAGATCACTTTAAATTGTGTAGAAAAATTTTACTTCTGTTCCAAATCTGCCCCATCAGTTTTTAGGCCAAAATGGTTGTGTTTTTTTGTGGATTTTAGAAGAGGGGTTCAAAATTAAGCTTATATTGAAAACTCAGTTGCAACTGACAGTGGAGCAGCTAATATTGCTTCACAAAAGCACAATATAAGAAAGCTGCTGTTAAGCAGAACACTTCACTGTCAACATGTCTACTCTTTGTATATTTTATCTTGAAACTAGAAGGCTAGTTGAATGGTTAATAGGACACAGCATAAGCCTGTTTAAACTAGGGAGTTGCACACTGTTGCTTCTGTTGGCCAAATGTATTGCACACATCAGGGACTCCTTGAATCCCTACAAGCTTATGAGCTCCCCTCTATTTCAGGAACTGGTTGCAATCCCCCTCTCTTATACGCTCTGTGTGCCCTCCATTACCCACTCTGCCCTCCTGGAGCTCTGTATCCCCTATTACTTCATGCCAAGAGGTTTGTATGTGCCCCCATTCCTCCTGTCAGAAGCTCTTGTTTCCTGTCCTCTTCTCCCTCCCCCCCCCCATATTGTTAATCTCCTTTCCTAGTCTTTCTCTTTCATTGTGTCAACATTTTAAACTCAGTTGGATATGGACAGAGCTAAAATGAGGGGTATTGTATTCATTTCTGCCATCAAACCATTCTTTGGTCTATAGACAATAAACAGCTTGTTAGAATTCAGAGTAGCAGCCGTGTTAGTCTGTATCCACAAAAAGAACAGGAGTATTTGTGGCACCTTAGAGACTAACAAATTTGAGCATAAGCTTTCGTGGGCTACTGCCGAAGAAGTGGGCCACGAAAGTTTATGCTCAAATAAATTTGTTAGTCTCTAAGGTGCCACAAGTACTCCTGTTCTTTTTGAGGTTGTTAGAAGTGTGACTTTGTACACAGATGTTGTCCCATTTCCTCTTTTTGGTTTTCATAAAAATCAATAGGGTTCTGTCTGTCGATGCTGAGAGTATCTGAAATTTTGGAATTGATTGGCTTCAGCATTCAAAAGTTATTGCATTATCCAAGCGAAAAAATGCTATCAAGTTGTGCCTATGGGCCTCGCAAGATTGGCTAGTTATTCCTGTATTATTTCCTTCTATGGCCTTCTCAGTATCCACTGTTTTCCTAGCTCCATTCAAAATTCTGCTGCTAAGATCTTTCTGGTCTGTCATTCTGTCTGTCACCTTTTTGTCCCTTTACTGGCTCTACCTTCTCCACTTAGAGTGACCAGACGTCTCGATTTTATCGGGACTGTCCCGATATTTACTTGTTTGTCCCACGTCCTGACCAATGTTCAGTCGGGATATGAATTGTCCCAATATTTTGCCCTCCAGCACACAGGCAGAGGGGGCTCATGCCCCTCCACCCCCTCCCCCATTGGGTCCCTCCCCAAATTCCCGCCCTTGCCCCGCCCCGTCACTGCCCCATTGGATCCCTCCCCAAATCCCCGCCTTGGACCCGCCGCATTCTTCTTCCTCACCCCTCCCTCCCAGGCTTGCGCTAATCAGCTGTATGGCGGCGCAAGCACTGGAGGGAGGGGGAAGAAGCAGGACGTGGCCCCCAGCTCAGGGGAGGTGGAGGCGGAGTGAAGGTGAGCTGGTGTGGGGGGGCGGTGCGTGGAGCTGCCAGTGGGTGCTCAGCCCCCCACCAATTTTTCCTATGCTCTGGCAGCTCTTGGGTTTTTTTTCCCTCCACCGGCACACTCCCTCAACCCGCCCCTCCCCCGCGCGTCCCGGATATTTCACATCTCTCCTCTGGTCACCTATCTCCACTCCATCAAGTACAAGCTTTTAGTCCTTACCTTTAAACCCTCATGTTTTAGCCTCTCCGTACTTACCCATTTCTGTATCTTAGTGTTCCCTCTACAACAACATTCTGTAGTGCGAGCTTCCATCACCCGTTTCTCTGCTTCTCCCACAGGCACCTTCATGCCTTCTTCCATGTCTCCCATTATCCCTGGAACGCCCAGCCCAAGCTAGTATGTATACTACTAACTTGTCCTCCTTCATAGCTCTCAGACCCGATAGCTCTCAGAAATTGCCAACTAATAATAATATACTTAGCTCTTTATATAATGTTTTTAATTGGCTCTCAAAGCGCTTTACCATAATGGCTAGATAGATGGCCATTCGGGCTCCTGTCCTGTTATCTTTATTTTATAATGTATTTTTTCACAAGACGCAAAACAGCAAGCTGTATATGCATCTGGCCTGTATAAACATTTTCTTGTTAGGGTTTCTCCCCTTACTTTTGTTGCATCTAAGATTATAAACTCTTCAGAGTAACAGTGGTCTATGACTTGGTGGGGTGCCTAACACAGAGAGGCTCTGATCCTGATTGGGCCCTCTGTCTGCTACTTAATAGAAGTAATTTGATAAAAAGCATATAGCATGAGTTAATTTGTCTTGGTGATATAGGTATTGAGAGCTGTACTTTTGAACAGTACTCTTATTATTCTAGTGCTGCATATGTTCTCCTTGATATCTGTATTTTTTCCTAGTTCGTTTATATGTATTTAGCTTTTTGGTACACCTCGTTTATTCAAAATACGTTATTTGATTATAATTACTCGTTTTGGTAGAGGTCATGGCATACTAGTCACTTGACTACAAAAGAAATATGTTTAACTATACTTGTTTTCTTTAGATATCACTCTATGAAAATTGAATAAAATATGAGCAGGTGAAAGAGAAGATGATTATGGGTTCAGGACAGGAAACTGAATAATTTCAATAAGCTTTTTTTAGTTTCTTTTAAAGAAGGTTAATTGGAAGCTCTAAGAGCCCCCAGTTAAGTCAGAGAGAAAAGTGAAGAGTGTGCATAATTTGTTTTTTAAACTGTTTAAAAAAAAAAAATTATGGGTTTCTGATTACCTCCGTTCGAGGTAATCAAACACATTTCGCTCATTTCTTTTTATATATTATTACTATTTACATTTTGTAAAAAGTCATCAGATTCAAGTTTGTGTTATTTTTATCCCAATACAAAAGGTTGTTTTAAAGCTTTTGAAAGTAGTGGACTATTAGGGGAATTTTGGTGTAGACGGTACGAATATTTAAATATGCCACAGTAATCAGTATTTCTTCTATTTAAAGTGTTTCATCTTGTGAAATAGATTGTTCGTATGCTGCTGCTGTTCGTTCAAATTAAAATCTTATTTGAAGTATCTTTAATGTTCTCTTGTGCACTTTCCTTAATCTGCATGTTTCTTCTGTTTATAAATTTGCCATTTTATATTCAGCAGATGATGATATGTTATGGAATCAGTCTTTAAAATGTTTAGGGGAACATTTAAAATAAACATATATTTTGTTTTTGTTTTTCAAGTTATTTACTCGTAATATACAGGTACTGTGAAGTCAACCCTTCTGTCAGTTTCCCCTCAGCAGAGTCTTGATCAGTGCTGAAGATTGTTCTGAAAGTGGGGAAAAATAGCAAAAGTATTCATCCAAGAAGTACCATACCATATTAGCTTTTCAAGGATCTCCCTGTCACTACTGCAGCAACAATGCAAATCTCCGCCCTTGGTGCCAGGGAGTGAGTCACAGTTCTCATAATAGTAAGCTTCACATGCAAGCCCCTCATACATACAGCAGTTGTGCTGGCCAAGAACCCAAAGCTTTTCATTTGATGCTACATAGTAATTTTTTAATAATGATGCAATGTAAGCATATGACCTTATTTTATCAATAACTTCAAATTCTGTTTTTTTATAGAATAATAATAACTTGGATGCCTGTTGTGCAGTTCTGTCTCAGGAGAGCACGAAGTATCTCTACGGTGAAGGAGACCTAGGTTTTTCGGATGATTCTGGGATTCCTGGACTACGAAATCACATGACATCTCTTAACTTGGATTTGCAGTCACAGAATGTGTATCACCATGGACGAGAAGGAAGTAGAATGAATGGAAGTAGGACTTTAACTCACAGCATTAGTGATGGACATCTTCAAGGCAGTCAGCCCAATAGCGAACTGTTTCAGCAGGAACCACAGACAGCACCAGCTCAAGTTCCACAGGGATTTAATGTCTTTGGAATGGCTAATACAGTTAGTACTTCTAATCCAGGACAACACCTGGGATTTCACATAGGCAGCAAAGGAGCATCTAGCCTCTCTCAGCAAACACCCAGATTCAACCCCATTATGGTAACTTTAGCCCCAAATATTCAGCCTGGTCGCAATACCCCTACGTCTTTGCACATACATGGTGTACCTCCACCTGTACTTAATAGTCCACAGGGAAATTCTATCTATATTAGGCCTTATATTACAACTCCAAGTGGTACAGCTCGACAGACACAGCAGCATCCAGGTTGGGTGTCTCAGTTTAATCCCATGCATCCTCAGCAAGTCTACCAGCCTTCACAACCAAGTCCCTGGACTACTCTTCCTACATCCAGTCCTCTACCACATACCTCATCACAACAGTCATCACAGCCAAACCAACAAGGCCACCAAACTTCTCATGTCTATATGCCAATCAGTTCACCCACTACTCCACAAGCACCCATGATTCATTCATCTGGTAGCTCACAATCTGCTGCCCATAGCCAATATAACATTCAGAATATCTCAACAGGACCTCGCAAAAACCAAATTGAAATCAAACTTGAACCACCACAAAGAAACAATTCTTCAAAGCTGCGTTCATCTGGTCCTCGCACTTCCACTAATCCTTCTTCCCTCAACAGCCAGACATTAAGTAGAAGTCAGCCCACTGTTTACATAGCTGCCAGTCCACCAAATACTGATGAAGTGATCACTCGCAATCAACCTAAGGTCTATATTTCAGCAAATGCCACAACAGGAGATGAGCAAATTGTGCGGAACCAACCAACACTCTTCATATCAACAAATCCTGGTGTAACTACCACCTCTAGGAATATGTCTGGTCAAGTAAGCATGGGTCCTGCATTTATTCATCACCATCCACCCAAGAGTCGAGCAGTGGGCAACAACACCACTGTAACCTCTCCTCGAGTGGTGGTCACACAGCCTAACACAAAATATACTTTTAAAATTACAGTTTCTCCAAATAAACCCCCTGCAGTTTCACCAGGGGTAGTATCCCCCACCTTTGAACCTACAAATCTTCTAAACCTTCCTGATCACTATGCAGAACCAGAGGGTATCCAGCATCTTACTGACCCTGTTTTAGCACATGTGGATAGGATCAGTGATGCACGGAAATTGAGTGTGGGATCTGATGATGCTGCCTACACACAAGGTAATATTCTTAATGTAAATTGTAGAGATTTCTACCAAGTTATCTGGCCCTTACGTTTCAAAACAAGAACCACCAATCAGCCATTTTGGAATTGACAAAATAACTCCTGTTCATTGCACTCTGGAACATATTCTAAATCAGAAATATGAATTTATAATTAACACACATTTGAATCAATCCTTCCTTAACTTTGCACGGTAAAGCAGTTTTAACTTTTTACCTCACAGTAGAATAGAGGTTCTATTGTTTTGTGTTCAATTATCAATAATCACCTTCTGTTTTGTGGAGCCTTTTCTGAATTAGCAGATGAGATAGAATTCTTTACCTTACCAGACTGGAAGGGTGGTTACTTCATTTTAAGAGATTGTTTTGAAAAAGATTTCTCATTTTTCAATTGATTTTAAACAAATCAAATGTTCAGACATACTAACAGGCTGTTGAACCAGATGACAGTTGACAGGCACTGTTCCCATTGAATATTGCTTTCCTTATTAGTTCATTTTGCAAATGTTATATAGAAAGTGAGGAATCCAGACTTTGGAAGCTATTTGAGTAGGAGTGAATTTTTTACCTCGCTGTTTTCTATTGTCAGACTTCCATAAGGATGTTTAAAGTTCTATTACTTGTATTATTTATATAATGTTATAAACAAATATGAAAAAGAATCTAAATAGTAGTGTGGTGAAGGAAAGGGGATGAGATTACATGAAAATCAAATGAATTGTATAGTGATAAGGACTCCTCTTATAAACACATGAGAATAGCAGGATTAACATTTTATGTATTTTGTTAACAGAGAGAGGAGTAGGATTATCGTAATACAATAATATTTTGGAAATGATGCAGATTGAGTCTTCCAATACTTATTAGGATACAAAACTTCTTGAGACCCTTCAATTATTGTCAACCAATTTAGCATTAAAAGAAATTGACATAAAACTTGTTCCAAGATTACTGTAAACGTTCAGATCAACTGTTATGAGGTAAATTTAATATTGAAGTAGCTTGTGCACTCCTTGTCTAGATTAGGGGGTTCTTGAATGCTGTGGTGTTTCAATCCCATCTCCGTTAATATTTGTTAAATATGCATTAGGAGGAAAATAAATCCTGCATTTATATAATGATCATACTGTTCAAGTGCTCCGCATTTCTGGTACAGTTTTTCTTCTGTTCTGACTTCCTTGAGAGAATATTTGTGGTACCAGCTTCTGCTGCTTGCAGCTCCTACCAGACCTTGCTCTGAATTCCAAATGCCCCTGGGGCAATGATTCCTACTATGGTACTAACTGCATCTACAATCAACAGCTGATGCATCATGACCAGGCCAAGCTCCCTGTGCCCAGCGCTGCTTCAGGGCTGCTGGTTGGATAGGAACTAATTCATCCTCCAAAACTGCTGATTGATTCCTGCCTACACCGAACCCCAATTGTGTATTAAGTCCCAAAAGGGTAGGCAAGTTTTCAGAGACAATGGTGTGGGCTATGGACTTAGCATGAAGCTGTGTGTCAGGAGCTGTCTCTGCACTGACTTTATGGGGTCCCTTCCCCTCTATTTAATGGGGGCTTCTATCCTCTCAGGGGCCCTCAGCCTTCACTCATGTGTAATGCTGCTCAAGTGTTCTGTATTCAGAGGAATGCTCCAGATTTCTGGAACATATTTTCTTCCACTCAGCTACAGTAACTGCTATGCTTTTTTTAATCCTTTGCTACACTTATAAATCATTCAGAAGTTGAGGTGCATGATCATGATTTATCTGCCTGGTCCAAGCAACCAGAAGTCAAGCTGTTGTTCCTGAATTTGGGTCTCTTATGTCACAAAACAGCTTAATTCTTTAATCTTATAGGTGATGCAGGTAGCAACATCTGTCGGTAAGGTTGCCCGATACTTTTCATAATAAGACCATGTTCTTTGAGTGCTTGTTCATGTCCATTCCATGTTAGGTGTGTGCACGTCATGTGCACTGTTGCTGAAGATTTTTCCCTCGGTGGTATCTGTCAGGCCGGCTCCAACGCTCTCTGGAGCCGTGCACTCATACGAGGGATGCTGCTGGCCCCACACCCCCTCAGTTCCTTCTTACACCCGGGGTGGTTGCTGGAACAACCTTTCTTGCTTTCTTCCCAGTGGTTTTTGGATTCTATCTTTGTAAATTTTTTTGTAATTAGCATTAGTGTATATAATTAGTGTAAATAGATAGTTCCTATTGTTGAGGGACTTCTTTGCCCCACGGGACGGGTATGCCCCGGGCTTCAAGCCTTGAGACAAACCTATGCCCGTGAGTGACCTGAACTCCAGCTACTTAAAGTGCTTGGGGAAAACTCCCATGAAGGACAACTGCCAGATCTGTCGGGTCTTCAGACCCTGCACTAAAAAGGACAGAAACATTAGGCTGAAGGCTATCCCTATGGGAAGCCATCCTCAGACCAGTATGAGCCAAGCCGCTCCAATTTGGCATTAAGTACTTCAGCATTGGTGTGAAGCACTCCCCTAGCACCGAGCACTTTCCTGCACCGTTCACACACTGGTGCCAAGAAAGAAGCACAAGAAGCAGTGAACCAACAGAGGGCACTCGCCAGTGCAGAAGAGAGACAAGTGGGGAGAAGGCAGAACAGTGAGACCTGTGCCAGGCCACTCTACCTCTCCCGAGCGCACAATGGCAACGTCAACTCTGCCTAGAGCATTAGTCCGGTGCAGTACCCTCCGAGTCCCAGAAGCCACAGCAGTGCCAGCAATCTGAAAATGCCATCAACCCTAGAGGCTTTCCAAGTGGCTAGGGACCTTTTTTCTCTGCCGGTCCCTTCAACTTCAGTGGGACACCTACCCGCTCGGGTGACCAGAAGCAGGAGGGGACAGGAGTGTCGGGCTCCTTCCTGGCACTGGGCCCCCCCAGCACCCTCTAGGGCAATGGTTCCCAAACTGGGGTTCATGAAATGTTACAGGGGGTTTTTGAGGGGGGGAAAATTCCCTAATGGTGGACAGAGCTGTCCCTAGGTACCCCAGGCAGCATGGGGCCAGCAGCACGGAGCCCCTGGACTTCCAAGAGCTAAGAAGATCAAAGCAAGCATATCTATCACACTGAGGAGATTTAAACTTCAAGACTCCTTATGGAAAGAGAGGTGGATATTTTTTGCTGTTTTTAAAATTAAATAGCTACTATTGTTTTTTAAATTATTATGAAGAACAAGTTTAAGCTTTTGTTGTAACGTGCGTTGTTTGCCTGGACTGCTCAAGACCTGAATGCTTGTGTAGGAGGAATTCTTTGAGTTGGCTTCTTAAATACCTTCATGCTGTTTCAGATCTGATACTCCTTGATGAAACATAGGAGCCTTGTCTTATAACCGGCTTATTCAAAGTGATACAAGCTACGAAAGTGAGATCTTGGCAGAGTGTTGCCATTTTCGTAATGTACTAAAAATACTGTAATGATAAATAATAATTAATAATATAGTGTGTAATAAGCATGTCATAAAAATAAATTTATATTTCCAAGATGACTGCTTTTATAATTTATACTCCGATAAAGGAGAAAATCCCTAGAAATATTCATTTTAAGGAGGGGGTTCGTGAGACTTGACATTTTAGTGAAAGGGGTTCACAGGCTGTTAAACTTTGGGAACCACTGCTCTAGGGGCAAGCCTTCCCTGATCTGGCATCTTCATCACCAGTCCATTGCCGGTTCCCGGAACCCCAGCATTGTATGGAGGCAGAAGCAGGTACAAAGGTCTCTGAGATAAGACTCCCTCTGCTGAGTCCGAAGGGGAACCTTATGTGCCTCCTAAAACGCGTTCCAGTACCCAGCTTATGCACCACCAGACTTCAGTGCCAGTCCTCCTGCCAGCACCTGGTCAGTGGCCAATGCAGTGGCCTTACTGGAACCCCTGGGGTTTCCACCCAGTACCGCGTCCTCCCCTTTATTGCTCCTGCTTGGTGGTTTCCAAGAGATGGGCTACCACTCCTTCCCTCTTGGCACCAGACCTCAATGTCCAGGAGATGGCTCCAGTGGACATAGTTGAGGAAGACACCCCTCCTCCGGTACAAGCCTCCTCCTCATCCACCCCAGACAAGGGGGTTGTGGGACCCAGTAATGTGCTTCGTCACAATAACTTCAGAGTCCATCAGAACCTTCTTAAGCAGGTCATTGCAAACCTGGGTCTGGAAATTGAGGAGCTCAGAGACATCACACAGTCTTAGTAATATCCTGGCTGCTGCCGCTCCCTCCAAGGTGACCTTGCCCATTAATGAGGCGGTGATGGGACCTGTGGCGAACCCTTCTTCTCTGCCCCCTCTCCTCCCACTTCAAATAGGGCAGAGAAGTAGTATTGTGTGTCAGCAGGCAGGTTCAAATACCTGTACTCGCATGCCCCTGGTGGGCTGCCGAAAATGAAAAGGATAGGCAGGGGCAGTCGAGCGCTACCCCTAAGCAAAAAGACACCAAGAGACTAGATCGTTTCAGAAGAAAGGTTTATTCGACAGGTAGCCTTCAACCACATGTCTCCAACCAGCAAGCTCCGCTGAGAAAATAGGATTTTAATCTGTGGGACTCCTTGGCTAAAGTTAAAGACTCCCTGCCCCAAGATTCAAGGCAGGAGTTCACTGCCGTCTTGGAGGAGGGTAAGACCAGGACCTCACTCCAGGCGGCTCTGGACACTGCTAGCTTGGCAGCCAGGACAATGGCCTCCACTGACACCATGGGGCGTTCTTGGTTCCAGTCCTCTGGCCTTCGTCACGAGGTCCAACAGTCTATCCAACACTTCCCCTTCAAAGGCTCCTCTCTGTTCTCGGACCAGATGGACATGTGACTTCACGGGCTGAAGGATTCGAGGGCCACCCTATGATCCTTTGGCCATTACGCTCTGTCAGCTTCTAAGAAACACTTCAGGCCAGCAGCCTTCTCAGTTCTCTGCGCCTCTGAAACAGGAGCCCTACAGAAGAAAAAGGAGAGGTTATAAACGGCACCAGCCACTCCCATCCACTTCAGCCTCCCAGTTGGGGTCTGAGATACT